GTGTTATGTCCCGTCACCACCCAGGATGCCCACAAGTTCATATTGACCTTCTCTCCCTATTTTCCTTGTGTCAATAACATTTTTGTGATACAGTTTGACCTTTTTCTAGAGAAAACAGAAACTTTCAATTACCTGAATCCCACCTCTTAAATGATGTCGTGATACTGTCCTCATAATTTAAAGCTCTAAAGTCAAATAATCCAGTGAACCCAGGGCAGGAGTAGACTCCCCTTAGACAGTGGCTTGAAATTCTTCAGTCCATTAGTCCTACGTTTTCCATGAGGGAAGAGCAGACGGAGGTGAGTGTCCAGCTCCTCTCTGGACCCCTCAGCTCTGTCCTCCCTCAGGATCAAGGGACGAGCAGGAACGGGGAGTCAGGGTCCCGCTGTGTCCAGGTTTTGCCATCACTGGCATGAGGACTTGTCAAGGATCACCCTCCTGGGGACAGTGAGGGTGACTGTGAAAGTCTTCACAGCTCACCCTCCCACTTCCCGCAGCTCTGACTATCACTGGGGTGTCCTTCCTTATTTCCAGTCACTTCTCAGGGCTGTACAGAAAGGGAAGAGTCAGGCGACAGCACAGGCCCTGTGAGGACAGCCACCCCCCTCTAGCACAGGTCACAGCTGCAGGAAATGCCCAGTGGCCAAGTCAGCCCCAGAGGGGGGACAGCGGGGCCAGGCCGCCCCTCTAAGAGCTGGTGAGGGTCCTACCCCAGGCTCAGTCCACCTTCTGGAAACCAGTGTAGTTTCATTCTGCCCAAATGCGACAAATTCCCCTCTGCCCAAGGCCCCACAAATCATCTTCCATCACACACACAGTGTGTGTCCAGCATCTCATCAACCAGTCAGTGCAGAGAAGATTCCTGAAGAACATCTACCCGAGTGAAGCCCTCTGTGCTCAGCTCTCGTGATCTGAGACTGGCGTGAAGGGGCAGTCTCTGCCCCATGAGCCCTTGATGTGGATATGAGTGGGGACAGGCCCAGGGCCACTTGCAGTCACATTAAAGAAGGGGAAATGAAGCCACAAAGTGTCACTGGACATCACAGCTGAGCAAACTGAACTTGGTCATTCTTTTTTCAAATGCTCCTCACCTCAACTTCTGCCCCAAGAATCTGTCCCCTTTGCCATAGTAGGAAAATTTCACATTTGTGGGAACAGTCTTCAACATTTCTCAGGTGACCTGATCCAGTTTCTCCGTCAGATGACCACATGTGGGACCTGACAGAGGACGTGGGGACAC